AAGATGACTTCCGCTCAGGTTGTCGAAACGTCAGTCACCAACAACAGTTCTTTTCAGAACTACACTCACCCGGACGATCACACTATACGAACTAACAACTTTATTCGTAGTCATTCCTAGAATTAAAGTGTACAAAGATAAGTTTTAAAATAGAATGAGTACATGACTGCTCGAAATAACCTTAATGGGCTAATTAAGACTGAGCAGCCATCCTTAGTAATTACAGCACTGATGGTCCTTGCATTTGCCCGGATGTGGAGTAAGGCGATTGTCAACACACCAGGTGAAAAGTTCTTCAAGGGCACAATTTAGTAAATTGCAAGCGACGTCTTGCGAGGAACCTATGCAATAACCCGTACTGTCATCAGCGTACATCAGTGTATCAGCATTTTTTGTTTCCTTATTATATAAAACAAGTAGATTCCATGATTCCATGATTCCATGTTGTCACGCGTCTGTTCAGTAATACAACAAAGACGTCAGAACACTGTAAGACCATCGGTGATACATGCACTCGGCTATCGCCTCGTGTGCCACTTTTTTGCTACCACATTTTGACGTCATCTGTGATCTGTTACTGAACAGACGCTCAGCAACATAGAATATATTTGTTAATCAGATAACGTTATAACAATCGCTATCTTACGCCCGGGTACGGGTACAACTAAAAATGGCTGACACATTTAAGTATCACGTTGTTTGAATTGTAGATGGCTGTATAATTATTTGACATATTTGGGACCAAATGGACTCGCGTTATCACTTTTCGAGATAGGTAAGGGTGGCAAATGGTCTTTTAAAAGAACATTTTCGTCGAATTTCACGGGTCTCGTGGTCTCCCTTTTTTATAGCGCTTATGTGCGCCTCGCAGCGTCCAGTTAGAGTCTGAATCTATCGCCCTCGCATGTAAAATTCTTTGAAGTCTCGGTATCGCAATTTAAAAAGTCAAAATGACTCGAGCTCGCAACGATCTAGAAAAAAGCTAGTCTCGCCTTCTCGCAAAGTGTACCACTCACCGTCCTATAGGCCTATAGGTGATACCCAAATGAAAAAGATGGATTGCCAATGCAATATGTGGTCGTCTCTATATTCTTAAGCTACAAGTTGAATGCCAATTGTCCCAAATTAGCTCTAAAAGGTAAATATCATAGACGTTCGAATAAAGTTGATGTCTGTCGATCTGTATGTATCCTCAAAGACGTATTCCTCAAATGGCCACAATTCGAAATAGCCTTGTAGAACTGAACACTTGCCTTCTTATTTCTTTTAAAAGTGACCACACGTACAAATCGAGGTATCTTCTCAAAACAGAAAGAAATTAAAATTTCACTGGGGATTCGAAAGCGTAAAACTTTTAGAGGACTCCACAAAAAGACAAAAATATTTACAACTTAAAATTTCCCTATTCGGCCACATAATGTCTGGATACCACATAAATAGCACGTTCACCATGGGTACTCGACACGCAAACAAATCCATTCTAACACCCTTTATCCTTTATTGCACTTTAAACATTCACAACTATCGATCCCTGCACCTTTTTAAAATCATTACTTCAAAAGAAATTACTAAGCTATGGCTGTAATTTGCAATCAGTGCTTAGGCAAAACTAACAAAATAATCATTTTGGGCCGTTGTGCTGGAATCCAACAGCAACATTCCCTTTGTTAGCTCCTTGTTGGCCAACATTGCCAGCGGTGCTGCCAAAGGTCATTTCTTGACCTTTATTGCCTTTATTCCCGACCTGATTGGCCCCATTTACTTTTAGTGACATGGATCCTACTTTGTCAAGACTGCCCGCAGAGTTACCAGTGATCTGTCCCAGGCCTTTGTAAAGTTGATTGCCCATGGCAACAATTCCTGTCTTTATTCCTTCGTTGCCAAGGCTGCCAGTGGTATAACCAACGCTGAGTTTTTGGCCTTCATTGACTTGTGTGCCCACAGCAACATTCCCTGTGTTGGCTCCTTGTTGGCCAACATTGCCAGCGGTGCTGCCAAAGGTCATTTCGTGACCTTTAATGCCTTTATTCCCGACATGATTTGCCCCATTTACGTTTAGTGATATGGATCCTACTTTGCCGAGACTGCCAGCAGTGTTGCCAGTTATCTTTCCCAGGCCTTTATAAAGTTGATTGCCCAAGGCAACAATTCCCGTTTTTATTCCTTCGTTCCCAACGCTGCCAGTGGTAGAACCCAGTCTGAGTTTTTGGCCTTTGTTGACTTGTGAGCCCACAGCGACATTCCCTGTATTGGTTCCTTGTTGGCCAACGTTGCCAGCAGTGTTGCCAAAGGCGACTTTATGACCTTTTCCTCCTTGATTGCCGACAGCAACATTTGTCATCTTGGTGCCTTGCAGCCCACCAGTAATAGCAGCGCTAACAGAGCCAATCTTTTCGCCCTTACTGACTTGAGTACCGACTTCAACATTCCCTACGTTTGCTCCTACGTTGCCAACGTTAGCATTGATATTGCCAAGTTTAACCCCGAGTCCTTTAACTTGTCCTACGTTTGCTCCTGCGTTGCCAACGTTTGCTTCTACGTTGCCAACATTACCATTGATATTACCAAGTTTCACACCGAGTCCTGTAACCTTTCCTACGTTTGCTCCTACGTTGCCAACGTTAGCATTGATATTGCCAAGTTTAACCCCGAGTCCTTTAACTTGTCCTACGTTTGCTCCTGCGTTGCCAACGTTTGCTTCTACGTTGCCAACATTACCATTGATATTACCAAGTTTCACACCGAGTCCTGTAACCTTTCCTACGTTTGCTCCTACGTTGCCAACATTAGCATTGATATTGCCAAGTTTCACCCCGAGTCCTTTAACTTTTCC